CAGCAGCTCAGTACAGCACAGTTCAGTATAGTTCAGTTCAGTCGTCAGTACAGTATAGTTCAGTACAGTTCAGTTCAGTACAGTTCAGTATAGTACAGTACAGTACAGTACAGGCAGTTCAGCGTAGGTTCAGTATAGTACAGTTCAGTACAGTTCAGTGAAGGTACAGCACAGCACAGTATAGTACAGTCTGGTTAGTACAGTACAGTTCAAAGCAGTCTAGTTCAGTTTAGCATAGTACAGCAGCATAGTACAGTTCAGTCTAGTTCAGTTCAGTTCTGTTTAGCATAGTACAGTATATACAGTACAGCAATCAGATATTTCAGTACAGTCAGTACAGTACAGCAGTTCAGTACAGTACAGTTCAGTTTAGCATGTGTTCAGTTTAGCACAGCATGTCAGTACAGTACAGTTCAGTACAGTGTAGTATAGCACAGCACAGTATATTTCCTTAGTACAGTACAGTTCAGTTCAGTTGTTGCATAGCTCAGCATAGTACAGTCATACAGTTCAGTGTAGGTACAGCATAGTTCAGCACAGCACAGTTCAGTACAGTTCTAGCATTATATTTCAGTACAGTACAGTACAGTTCAGTATAGTACAGTAGATCAGTTGGTTGCGTAGCACAGTTCAGCACATATCTCAGTACAGCACAGTTCAGTACAGTTCAGTCTAGTACAGTTCAGGCACAGTCCAGTACAGTTCAGCACTCAGATATTAGTACAGTACAGTACAGTTCAGTTCAGTACAGTTCATATAGTATAGTACAGTTCAGTATAGCACAGTTCAGCATATATAGTACAGTACAGTTCGGGGTTCAGTATAGTACAGTACAGCACAGTACAGTTCAAGCATATATATTTCTCAGTACAGTACAGTACAGTATAGTACAGTACAGTTCAGTATAGTACAGGTTCATAGTCAGTACAGTCAGTCTAGTTCAGTCACAGATATATCCAGTACAGTCCAGTACAGTTCAGCATAGTACAGTTCAGTTCAGTTCAGTACAGTTAAAGTTTAGTACAGTAGTTCAGTATAGCACAGCATAGCATAGTACAGTCTAGTACAGTATGTTCAGTCATTAGTCAGATAGTTCAGGCACAGTACAGTCTAGTTCAGTTCAGTTCAGTTCAGTACAGTATAGTATATTCAGTATAGATATTTCAGTACAGACAGTTCTGTGCATAGTACAGTTCATATAGTACAGTCAGTTCATCACAGTTTCAGTATAGTACAGTTCAGTTCAGTTCAGTCTGCAGTTCGTATAGTACAGTATATAGTATAGTACACAGTATAGTTCAGTATAGCACAGTACAGTTCAGTTCATAGTTCAGTCTAGCACAGCACAGCACAGTACAGTACAGTAGTTCGTTCAGTACAGTACAGTGCCAGTCAGTTCAGTCTAGTTCATTGTCAGTACAGTATAGTACAGTACAGTTCAGTTAGTTCAGTACAGTACAGCACAGTACAGTACAGTACAGTTCAGTACAGTTCAGTATAGTACAGTTCAGTTTAGTACAGTTCTAGCATAGCATGAGTTCAGTTCAGTATAGCAGTGCAGTGCACAGTACAGTACAGTTCAGTTTCAGTTCAGGTTCATACAGTACAGTTTGTACATAGCTCTGTACTTGGTATAGTTCAGTATAGTACAGTATAGTTCAGTATAGTACAGTATAGTATAGTACAGTACAGTTCAGTATAGTTCAGTATAGTACAGTACAGTTCAGTATAGTACAGTTCAGTATAGTTCAGTATAGTATAGTATAGTACAGTTCAGTATAGTACAGTTCAGTATAGTACAGTTCAGTGTAGTACAGTACAGTTCAGTATAGTACAGTTCAGTATAGTACAGTTCAGTATAGTACAGTACAGTTCAGTATAGTACAGTTCAGTTTAGTACAGTACAGTTCGGTATAGTACAGTACAGTTCAGTACAGTATAGTACAGTACAGTACAGTACAGTACAGTACAGTACAGTTCAGTTTAGTACAGTACAGTTCGGTATAGTTCAGTACAGTATAGTACAGTACAGTACAGTACAGTATAGTACAGTTCAGTACAGTACAGTTCAGTTTAGTGCAGTATAGTTCAGTATAGTATAGTACAGTTCAGTATAGTACAGTTCAGTTTAGTACAGTATAGTTCAGTATAGTACAGTATAGTATAGTACAGTACAGTTCAGTATAGTTCAGTATAGTACAGTACAGTTCAGTATAGTACAGTTCAGTTTAGTACAGTATAGTTCAGTATAGTACAATACAGTATAGTATAGTACAGTTCAGTATAGTACAGTTCAGTATAGTACAGTTCAGTTTAGTACAGTATAGTTCAGTATAGTACAGTATAGTACAGTACAGTTCAGTATAGTACTGTACAGTTCAGTATAGTACAGTATAGTTCAGTATAGTGCAGTTCAGTACAGTTCAGTATAGTTCAGTTTAGTACAGTACAGTTCAGTATAGTACAGTTCAGTATAGTACAGTTCAGTTCATTACAGTTCAGTTCAGTTCAGTATAGTTCAGTACAGTTCAGTACAGTACAGTTCAGTACAGTTCAGTTCAGTTCAGTATAGTTCAGTACAGTTCAGTACAGTATAGTTCAGTACAGTTCAGTTCAGTACAGTTCAGTTCAGTTCTGTACAGTATAGTACAGTGCAGTTCAGTATAGTTCAGTACAGTTCAGTACAGTATAGTTCAGTACAGTATAGTTCTGTACAGTATAGTACAGTTCAGGTCAGTATGTATAGTACAGTTCAGTTCATTACAGTTCAGTACAGTACAGTTCAGTACAGTACAGTACAGTACAGTACAGTACAGTTCAGTTCAGTTCAGTTCAGTATAGTACAGTATAGTTCAGTACAGTTCAGTACAGTATAGTTCTATACAGTTCAGTATAGTTCAGTACAGTATAGTTCAGTACAGTACAGTTCAGTATAGTACAGTACAGTTCAGTATAGTACAGTACAGTTCAGTATAGTACAGTACAGTTCAGTACAGTATAGTTCTATACAGTTCAGTACAGTTCAGTACAGTACAGTTCAGTTCAGTTCAGTATAGTTCAGTACAGTTCAGTACAGTATAGTTCTGTACAGTTCAGTTCAGTTCAGTATAGTTCAGTACAGTTCAGTACAGTATAGTTCTATACAGTTCAGTACAGTTCAGTACAGTACAGTTCAGTTCAGTTCAGTACAGTATAGTTCAGTACAGTATTTAACTGCTTCAAGTTGTGGCTGTAGTTAAGACATTGTTTTGAGGATCACCGAGTCACTATAACTTCAATAACGGGTGCAACCATTCTCTCTCTCTCTCTCTCTGTCTCTCTCTCTGTCTCTCTCTCTGTCTCTCTCTCTGTCTCTCTCTCTGTCTCTCTCTCTCTGTCTCTCTCTCTCTCTCTGTCTCTCCCTCTGTCTCTGTCTCTCTGTCTCTCTCTCTCTCTGTCTCTCGTAGTGTGTGTAGATAACAAACAATATCATTTACACCTAGGACTTCTGCATCACCTGTAATTATCCGAGTGTGGCATAACTGGACTGTACAGCCATAAAGGGGTGATTATACTAGGGGGTTAGGTTAGGGGTAAGGGAGGGGTTGGCTAGGGCAGGGGTTGGCTAGGCTAGGGGTGGGGCAAGCAGGAGGGGCTGGCTAGGCTGGGCTAGGTTGCTAGGTTATGAGGCGTTGTGCCGTGTGGCTTAGCCCTTGCTAGTAAGGGTGAAGCTGTTGTCAGGACCTCGTGAAGATTAGACACCTCCTGACACCCCCCTCCTTTTTCTGTTTACCCCAACCCAGGCGGGGCTAGGGAGGCTGTGTGTGTGGAGGTGAGGTGGGGGTGGGTGTGTGGGGTGACAAGAGTTGAGCTAATTACAGGAAGCAGTACTGTAATTACCTGTACCCAAAGGTAGCTTATAGCAAGGATACAATACCGGAAAATAGATCATATGAGGTTAGTTAATCCCCTTTCACCCTCATCTAATCCTTTCTTTCTCCTCCCTCTCCCTTCCCCTCTCCCACTACCCCTTCTTCCCTTTCCTCCTCCTCCTCCTCCCACTCCTCCTCCTCCTCCTCCTCCTCCTCCTCCTCCTCCTCCTCCTCCTCCTCCTCCTCCTCCTCCTCCTCCCCATCCCCTCCTCCCACTCACCCATAGCTTATTTCACCTGAGGTTGAAATCAGTTAACACACTCAATGCTATATCTGGGAGGGGTTAGGTTAGGCGAGGTTAGCATTAGTTTAAGTTAGTTTAGCGTTAGGTTAGGTTAATCCCAAGGTTAAAAATAGCCTGGAGTGCTTAATGGTATTTGCATATGAGAGTTTGTGTTGTGGTTATTGTACAGTATGTGAGAGTTTGTGTGGTGGTTATTGTACAGTATGTGAGAGTTTGTGTGGTGGTTATTGTACAGTATGTGAGAGTTTGTGTGGTGGTTATTGTACATTATGGAGAGTTTGTGTGGTATGGCTGTACAGTGTGAGAGTTTGTGTGGTGGTTATTGTACAGTATGTGAGAGTTTGTGTGGTGGTTATTGTACATTATGTGAGAGTTTGTGTGGTGGTTATTGTACAGTATGTGAGAGTTTGTGTGGTGGTTATTGTACAGTATGTGAGAGTTTGTGTGGTGGTTATTGTACAGTATGTGAGAGTTTGTGTGGTGGTTATTGTACAGTATGTGAGAGTTTGTGTGGTGGTTATTGTACAGTGTGTGAGAGTTTGTGTGGTGGTTATTGTACAGTGTGTGAGAGTTTGTGTGGTGGTTATTGTACAGTGTGTGAGAGTTTGTGTGGTGGTTATTGTACAGTGTGTGAGAGTTTGTGTGGTGGTTATTGTGATAATTACTGCCAATGTAAATTAGGAGTTTTGTAGATTTTTTCTTTCTTTCTTGGGATGATTTTCACTTTCTTTAAATGAGTTGTTTTTGTGTATTTAATTTCTTTCTTTCTTTCTTTCTTTCTTTCTTTCTTTCTTTCTTTCTTTCTTTCCTGGATATGTTTTCACGTACAATAATTTCTCTTCCAGATCCATAGGACAGAATATGTACACTCTAGAAGATTAATATATCGAGACGTCAAGCCGGAAAACTTTCTCATAGGAAGGAGCTCCACTAAAAAAGACAAAATAATAAACATTATAGGTAAGAACGTGGGCAGTTTTGTAGAGGCGACGACCTGACCTGATCATTCTTAATCTAATCTAACGACCAAATTTAACCAGTTATAACCTAACCTAACCATACCATTCTTAATCTAACCTAACTTGACCAAATTTAACCAGTCATAACCTAACCTAACTTAACTTAACCTAACCATTCTTACCCTATTCATTCTTAATCTAACCCAACTTGACCAAATTTAACCTGTGATAACCTAACTTAACCTAACCATTCTTATCCTAATCATTCTTAATCTAACCTAACTTGACCAGTGATAACCTAACCTAACTAACTTAACCTAACTTTGCTTATCAGTGTTTTACAGACAGACTGATCAGGATTTTTAAATTACTTATTATAATATTTGATGTTTAATTTGTTGAAGACGACTGTTGGCTGTGTGTTGTTCTCTAGTTGAAGGCGTTAGTACAGTTATCTCCTTCATTATAACCTGTTATCTGGTTGCTACAGCTTCTTAACTTTTATAGTACAGTATTGTGTAAGTTGTGGTTTATAATAGAGTACAGTACTATGTTGTTATGGTGTGAAGTATAGTGATCCCTAACAACTCTATACTTGTACTAGTTGTGGTTTATAATGTGTGTATTGGTTATAATGCCTGAGACCCTTATACTTGGCTACAGATTTTGGGTTAGCCAAGGAGTATATTGACCCGACAACAAACAAGCACATCCCGTATCGGGAGCACAAGTCTCTAACGGGGACCGCCCGTTACATGTCCATCAACACTCACATGGGTAAGGAGCAGTCCCGCAGAGATGACCTGGAGGCGCTGGGTCACATGTTCATGTACTTTCTTCGTGGGTCACTTCCTTGGCAAGGTCTCAAAGCCGACACCCTTAAAGAACGCTATCAGAAGATCGGCGACACCAAACGAGCCACACCAATTGAGGTCCTCTGTGAGAACTATCCTGGTGAGTACAGCTTCAGTGTCTGACTGTAAATGTTTTTGTTATCTGTACAGTACTGGTAGGTGTGGGTTGTCATGAGTGTTGTGGGAAGACCTTCAGATGTGCTGGCTTTGGCCTCCTATGTAATGTCTCTTGTACTGTCTTGTATAGGTACTTACAGAATGAGCCAGTATTCTTGTACGTATATTGTCCAATAGCAGGAGACAGTTACTTAACTCTTAACTTTACAGCACAGTGATTCATTATGACTTGTATGCACCATGATAGGAAGCCCCATTCACTCTAATTTTACTCTCTTAAATTATTTTAAATTTCATGGACAAATTGGCCAACAGTCAAAGTGTCCCTCAAGATTTTCAAGTACAGTACAGCTGTTCCTTGTTGTGATGACTTGTGCCAGTCATTATAACTAGTGTCAGTGCATCAAGCTTTTCTTGTATGTCATCATTTATATTTACCACTATTCTTTATTATTGTACAGTATTTATAATGAGACAAAATACCCCCCAAAAAGTGAACAAATTCTTTAACTCTGGGAGCACAGTAGTACAAAAACCTGTAGATATTAGATAATTTTGAGGTACTAGAGTGCTGTATCTTAATGCTGGTGTAAGCCACAGCTGAATTTGGCAGCAGGATGATAGTCAGACTGCACAACATGAAGTAATCAAGAGACACGTTGAAGACACACAGTACAGTACATGTTAAAGCAGGTGAGGGAGGAGGCACCAGTGTGTGCAAGACAGAGCTGTTGACAAGTGGTATGACTACCACTGAACTTCTGGCGTCTCCTCTGCCATTTGAGCTTTATATTGCCCTTGAGCCCATGGCTGCATATAAGGGTATCAGAGGATTTTTTTGCAGCTTGTACCTGTATTATTATTATTTTTTGACCTATTAATGCAGTAACATGCCTACACTCTGTAACGGAACTGAGTACAAACTAATGCATGTACAGTAGTGTACTTCAACTGCTCCCCCGTTCCCCCATTTTTTCACCATCATAATGTAATGCAGTTCTTGTACCAGTATTTTCATTTAAGTCTGTTACTGCTAAACTCCTAATATTGAAATGTGTGTAATGTACACACACACACACACACACACACACACACACACACACACACACACACACACACACACACACACACACACACACACACACACAGTACATTTCATTAGACTCATCATGGACTTGCCAACAGTACAGTACCTTAGGGTAGACTGTCATAACTAGAGAGGAGATAGTGTCCAAATTGCTGTGCTACTTTAGGTCATTTATGCCACCAGTTGAGACTGATGGCTGTTTACATAGTGTGTAGTGCAGGAAGCCCAGGCCAACAACTATGGTTTAACATTTTATAGTCATTTATTTGGTGCATTTAGATCAAATTTTCAATATAAAGAGACCAGTAATGATTTGTTTTTAGTTGTACTGGTGCCTGGATTCCCCCACAATACAGTAGTTTAATAACACAGCTACATTATGTGGATCATGTGTTGTGCAGCTAGTGAGGCATATTGAATAGCTGATGTAAAGTTGGTTCATTAAGGTTAGTAAGTCTTTAGATAAATTTCAATGTATTAATAGAATACTGTTTAGAGTGAAATTCTGGTCGTTGGTGTTCATCTGTGCGTCGTTTCCTCGTTATTCTTGCAGAAGAGATGGCGACGTACCTGCGATATGTACGGCGGTTGGATTTCTTCGAGACTCCAGATTACGACTACCTGCGAAAGCTCTTCCAGGACCTCTTTGAACGGAAAGGCTATGTTGATGATGGGGAGTTTGATTGGACTGGAAAGACTATGGTATGGTTATGTAGAATTTCTGTATTTATGAAAAAAAAAATAGAAAGGAATAAGATGGTTTAGATAAAATATGACATTGATAATGAAGAGGGCAGGTGTTAAATAAATTCTTACCTACTTGATCTCACGAAACATATGCAGCCGGATGAATATTTAGCCAATATGCGACAACTGAGAACTGCTGCCCCTTCTGATCGTGTGAAAACCAGATCAGAGAAGGTCTGTCGAAAAATTTTGCTGATGTAGAGTAACAGGAGTATGCTAGAGTAAACACCCTTGATAGTGAAGATGATTTTTTATATTATTCTCACAAACTTGGTCTTTGGAAACCTTTTGGTTGTAAAATAGTGATAATAATGACCATTCTCTGAGGGTTTGACCTGTGTTGAAGTGGGCGTAGTGCATGGTACAGTATCATGGTGAGTGGGTACTACTACATATTGTAGCTGTCAAGCCCGACGTAATAATTCCTCTCCGTAGTGAACCAGGTAAACTCACGCATTAGGTACTTTACAGTAGTTGCAGTAAGAACTTAGAACCCACCCATATACTCTTAATGTGGGGTAGGAAGCAGAAGTAAATCTAGTTAAGAATTATATTCAGTACCATGAAACTTTTATGCTTTTATCTTCTTTGGCTTATGGGTCTCAAGGAGTGACTTGTGAAATACCCTCACTAGAGCGCCCCCTGTAAAGCCTGCCTTGTCCACTGAGGCGGAGACACTGTCTTGTTTGATCTGTGTCTGTTGCAACATGGACAGTTACATGCCTAGTCAGATTGATGTAAGCAAGACAGAGCCCAAACCCTGTTCCAGTGGTTACTTGGAAAGCCATTGAACTACAGTGTAGACCAAGTATAAACTTTGGACCCATTTAATTTTGACTCGCCTCATGAAAATAATGTATTTATATATGGTACCAAGAAAGTGTGTTGTACAATTTTATACATCCAGCCTGTGAGAAAACAAAGTGTAGAAACAATTGTCATTCATGGTAAATGAATGATGAGCTCAGCTTCTGGCACTAAGCATTTGTTAACAGTTGGCCACAAGTGAGGAAAATATTTTGTCTGAGATTTGCAAACCAAGTTTATGGCCGAGGGGTTGAGGCGAAGACACGGCGAATCTTGTGGCTCGGTCGTTATCAGAGGAAGCAACTGATTGGGGTAAGTGCCCCACTCTAACTAGCATAACTGCTTATGCTGTGAGTGGACTTCCTCTCCTTTAACAATTAGATACAGTACAGTATCTTCATAGACATAGCAGGTTCTGCTAGGGGAGGTACTCTAGTGAGGGAACATTGCAGGTCATTTGTCTCTTCCCCTTGGCCAGGAACTTGGATTTCATGCTTCAAACAATGATTTATGATTTTGATAAAAATCATTACAGTCTGTTTTACCAATAACAAAAAGGCCAAATATTTTTATATTTTTCATTAATGTAATTATGTTCATGTATTACAGTATACTTGAAGTATAAAATAATAAGTTCCTACAAAAAGCTTTTTGAAGATGTCAGTTAAGAATTTTGTTTGTTTATGAACTAGTTTAAAGGGGAAGGAACTCAAGTACAAGTTCTTTATACTTTCTGGCCGTGGACAAATTTTGGTGGATTTTTTTAGAGTTAAGTTATAAACAAAACAAGTTAGATTTCTTTGATTGCTTGCTTGCTGAAATTGGCTGTGGAGGGAAAACTCGTGACTAAGAGAGCACCTGGTCTTACAGTCAACACCAGTTGGGTCAACGCAGACAGGAACAGAGGTGATTGTGTCACCAAGCAGAGAAAATCGTGAAAGGCACCCAACAGCAACTAAGGTAAATTTTGACAACAACTGTACTTACATTTTACCTTTTCAGGGCAGCTGAGGACACAGTTGAAATTTTGGAAGCTGCAAGGCATACTTCAACAAGAGCCATTTGTAGCTCTACTGTTTCAGTTTGTAATTAGATTGTCTAAAGTGTGTTTGAATAGGGCTTAACATTTTCCCTCCAGTTGACAGGAGTAGTGAGGAATGGTGGGGGGCCTGAGCAGGGGGCTGTTGTTGGGCCAGGTGATGGCAAGGAGGGTGAGAACCCCACTGCCGCGCAACAGACGCTACTACCTTGGACACCAACGCAGCAGGTGGATGACACCGCCCCACGGCCTCCCCCGGTCAGACATCATGTATGTTCCGACACTACCTCCTCACTGTTTGAGCTACAGTGCATTAACCCGGGGCACTTCAGATTTCTTAAACTCAATCGAGCAAAGATTTTGTTTTCCAGTCCAATATTTTTAATTAGCATTGTACTGTATAAACACAGATTGTCAAAAATTAATGATATTGCTGTGCACTGTGAAAGACTGTGGAGGAGTGTGAGGGGCCTGTATGAATTTGAATGACAAAATGGCACAAAGTGTGGCTTCTTGGCACTGACACACTCACACCAGATGTATTGTATTGGCTACCTCACATGCAACAATCTTTTGCACTCCTCAACACCAGACTCATCTTTGAATTAACTAGTGAATAACTCTAGAATCATACTCTAATGCTGTACTCTGTAATATCATAGCTGCTGTGCCCAAGGATTAACTTATGTACTCTGATACAATAACACTCACTAGTATTTTGGAGTTGACAGTTTGAGTGGTCATCCCAGAGAATGAGGTAGTGTCTGAACATGATGTCTTAGCTAAATATATTAAAGCTCAGTACTGTACAATAACCTTGCAGACTACTGATAACATAGCAATAGTTGATGCATCCAATATCACAGCCACAACTGCATGTTCTTTACACCCAGACCAGTTATTGTTTTAGTTTATCATGTCAGTCGGGTGGTTGTTACAGTAACTTGCCGAGTGTGGAATAAAACGTAGGCAAAAATTATTTGGGTTATCAAAATTATTATTATTTTATGATAATTATGATTATATTGATACAGTATTATTACTCTTACCATAATTTGTATTAATGTTACTTGAGGTTTAAGGCCAAGGCCAAGGTTTCAACTTTACCAGTACTGTACAAGTATTTTGGTTTAAATATTCTTTAATTTAAAAACAGTACAGTATATAATATATATTATAATTTTTGCCTTATTAGATGACTTTTTGTTTTATCATTTGCTTCTAGTTAACAAAATCTATTAACTGGATCATAAAGGCACTGGAGTCCCAATGAACCAGTGTTCTGGATTTTTTATTAATTTATTATTAGTGTTTCTTTATTGTTATTATTATTTTTAATATTGCCAGGAGAAATCAGAAGGAGAGGATTTACGTCTGATGCAGGTAACACAGTGCATTAAGTAGGTTAGCTTTATACACTACTGTACTGTACTGTACTGTACTGTACTGGCAGTTGGAACAATTGGTACTGTACTGTGGCCAACTTCTCCAGCCATGACTTAAGAACTGCACCTCTCAGTACATAATATTAGCTTCATTGGTAATGTAGCCAGATGATATATACTGTACAGTACTATATATAAAATAGGCTTTTTTACAATAGAGTAATTTTTAAAGTAAGCTTTAAAGACATTAGGTAATATGGCTTGTAGACCCAGTGGTATGAACTTGTGTAGATACTGAGTAGATGTGACCTATTTTCCTTTTATTTTACTTTTATCAGGAATTGGATTTTTATGTACAGGGTGTCTCGGAAAAATATATACCGTACACACTGCCATACAGATTACCGTGGAGGATCGCGCGAATCCTTGTATTACAACGGCAACATCGTCCTCATGAGTGAGGACAAAGTTTGCTCTGTAACACAAGCATTTGCACAATCTCCATGTAGATCTTGTATGGCAGTGTGTGTACATCTTTTTGAGACACCAGTTTTAGGCTAGGAAGGATGTAGGCTTAATGATCACGCGCTGAGAGATGTACCCACCAGATTGTCCAAAGATATTGTAGCCAGAGTGATGGGTCAGGTCGCTGGTTGAGAGAGAAAAATGATGAGTTAGGTGGACTTGATTTTGGTCATCCGGTGTTATCCTCACTTCCTGTGTCTACCACACAGTTAGGTGGTATGCAAGGTTGTTGGTGGTTGTTGTTGTTGCATGTGTGCATCTCACACGGCCACGGGGCCATGTTACAGGGCGGCACCAAGGGTACGGCAGCCTGGCCCGAAACCCCCAAGCAGGCAAGCAACATGTTAGGCGGCAACCTCACCCCAGCAGACCGCCACGGCTCCGTCCAGGTAATACCGCTTCTGGCGACGGGCCTTCTCAACCCCTTCCTCTTGCTGCTGCTTCCCACCAGATCACCTCTTGTGAACCAGGGTTGGGCTATCCATCAGGCTAATCTTTTTCTTAGGTCATTAGAAAATTTTCCCTCATTGATAATTCCAACCAGACTTCAAAGTTGGTGATCAGGTGACAAGTTTCCTTCCCCTCTCCAGCAACAGGTCTTCAAGTAGCCATAGAGCATGAAAGAAAACCTTGCCTTCCCTTCCTCCCCTCATGGATAATGTTAAAAGTCTGTAGCTTTTTCACACTGCTTTTTCTACCGGGCAGCTTAAAGGAATTTTCGGTATAATAAAACAGTCATAATGATATTAACTAGTAATCTTTACTTGTGGTTCTAAAATCTAATACTTTTCTAGCTTTAGTTGTAATCCTTAGCATCATTATATAGAGCATTGTGCTGGCTAACATTGTACTGTACCCATTTAGTGTCTCTTGTTGTAAGGCTTTGCTAAAAGCTTGTCTTAATTGCACATTAAACCTCTTATCATTAGATGAGGTCGAATTTACATAATATAAGTTTGTTATTTTATTTATTTTATTTATTTGTTTATTTATTTACTTATGTTTTCAAGTAAAGTATGACCATTACCTTATCAAGTTAACTCAATACTGTAATGGTTAATGCTGCTGCCCGGTAACCCCTTCCTCATCCTTAAAGAATATAAATAAAGTAACAGAAATCATAAAAGAGACAGAAGAGTCGGTGATGTCCTTGTGTGGAGACTGCAGTATGACTGGCACTGCTCTCGGTGAAGGCTCATAACTGTGTCGGTGTCTTTACTGGCAGATGCGATACCCTGATTGTAGTCTTCAGGGATTAACATTCAAAAGATGAGCTTTGATTGTATTGTGATTTGGGTTGTGGTGGTTGCAAGTTTCTTAATATATGGGTTAGGCTGGATGAGAATTGCTTTCTTGTTTAAAGTAATAAGACGATCAGTGTCATGTTCTGAAGTGTGAAAGTCCACCACAAGTTGGTAATTATGATGCCGTGATGTCTTCAATGGCTTCGTCAAAATCAAACACTCTTTACAGCAGAGTAGTTATGTTGTTAAAAGTAATGACACACGTGCTATCATAATTACTTACAGCACTGGAGAGGGAAGGATGTTTACAGTCATTGGAATATTTAAGTGAACAAATATTTATGGTGTTTTCCCCCAACTCTCTTAATATAATAAAAAACCCTTCTCATTTTAAACCTCCCGTTGTATATATACTTTCGTCAACTCTTGGTTTGCCTGACTGAATAATCAATTAGATTTTACTTATGTAGTATGTGAGTACTCTGGTCTATCTCAGGTACACTTCCTTAGTCTTGTAGTTTGTTAATCCATTACACTGCAGTTTGTGGGAAAGTCAAGGTTATGTACAGATAATTGTTGACTGCTTCTACATGTTGAGTGTCCCAACCCGGTACCCACATAACATTCTTCAAGATGCAGTGAAACTAATCCTGTAGGCCTAGTATGTTTTACACCCCATTAACAACTCATATTTGATGTCTCCCCCCTTCCCCCACCCCTTCCCTTAATGCTACTGTCACTAACTGATGGGCTGGGAACGTTACAGCACCACCCATAGCGTCCCTCGACCACTGCCGGAAGCACCGTACACTCGTTCAAACATGAGGAACTTCTCGCCTGAACATTAGTATAGTGCTACCAGGTCGTGATCGTATCTGAACACAAGATCATCCAGGGATATCATTGGCAGTGCTGGAATACCCACGACACCCTGTCATCGGTCACTAAATGAACGCACCCACCAGGAACCTCCCCCTTTACCCTGTCATCGGTCACTAAATGAACTCACCCACCAGAACCTCCTTTACCCTGTCACCAGGCACCCACCAGGAACCTCCCCTTTACCCTGTCACCGGTCACTAAATGAACCTCCCTTTACCCTGTCACCGGTCACTAAATGGAACCTCCCCTTTACCCTGTCACGGTCACACCCAGGAACCTCCCCTTTACCCTGTCATCGGTCACTAAATGAACTCTACCCTGTCACCGGTCACTAAGTCGTACCCACCAGGAACCTCCCCCTTTACCCTGTCACCTGTCACTAAATGAACGCACCCACCAGGAACCCCCCCTTACCCTGTCACCGGTCACTAAATGAATGCACCCACCAGGAACCTCCCCCTTACCCTGTCACCAGTCACCCATCATCCACCCACACACAGCTGTCTACCGTATATACTTTGTCCTAATGATCACCTGAACTTCTTTCCCTATCTTATTTGCATCAAGACACAAGCAACTATGATCCTCTTAATGCCAAACTCTTCTACACTATATACATCATATTTTGGTAGACCCATTATGGTCATTATATTGCAATTACCACTTTATCTCCCTCATCCTTATATTACAACAGCTTTCACTTCCTTATGCTTTTGTTTTCATATTTTTTTTCATCGTGTATTGTGATTTTTACCGTCATATGCGTCCACTCAGTACAATACAGTTAGCTACATGCCTCCACTCAGTACAATACAGTTAGCTACATACCTCCACTCAGTACAATACAGTTAGCCACATACCTCCACTCAGTACACTGATCTCATCAAGCTTCTAGATTCTGGGTGCACCATTAATGACCTGACCCTAAACGAACTGATTGAATCTAACTTAAAAGAATTTTTGTAAGGCGATTAAGGTCGATTAGGTCACCCACTAAAGTCCTGTCACCTCTCCTCCTGAACCACGAACCCCAGACATTCAGACTTATGAATCTGAAGCACTAGAGACTAATGCATTATTGTGTATCTATATATGCTTGGGATTCACGAGTCTGAATCTCTGGGGTTCGTGGTTCAGGCGGAGAGGCAACATGACTCTTGTGGGTGACTGACTGTTCATGATGTAACTTGTCATAGGTCCTCAACCATCTCAGTAAGTGTCATGGTTTTGCTCCCCATATCACACATGCTATAATATGTCACCTTAACTGTTCCCTGTAATTGCATCTTAATAGTCCTGGTTTAATTTATATGAAGCCCGTTTAATCTATATAAAAAAAAAATACATTAAAGAATCTCCAATCTGTATGGTGAGTGTGGATTTTGAATGTATATACAGTATATATAATTATATCTTTAGATGTCTATGAATGCTGAAAGGATTTTTCACAGTTTTTGAATGACATTTATCTCAGGTTGTGGGAAATACAGTACCTTTCAGATTAAATTGAAGTGTCAGCTGATGTGTTGAGGCGACTTGAACAGCTGCCAACCAGAAATTTGTTATTATTTTTTTTGTCCTTTTATTTCTTTATTTTGTATTTTTTGCTCGTACTTGCCATGTGAGGAGAATAATATGCTCTTTGGCACCGATACTCTACTGGAATGTGCGGCAGTGTGGGATTGACTTTGAATATGTTGCCTGCTCTTTTGGGTTTGTTTAGCTGCCAATGCTTGTCTTATTTCCCAAATGCTTCTGTTAAAACTACTACTACTACTTCTCCTACTATTACTACTATTCCTTGCACCAGAGCTTGCATGGTTAACCAGGATCCTCTGCACTATCACCATCACCATATAGTTCACTGGATGATGCTTTGTGTGTTCTTGTACAGTGGGACTTTATGGTGTTAGTGTGAGGGGAGAAATAACTTTTGTGTTTTCTATTAGTACTGTACCAGAACACACTCCTTGCCTATGTTCAGTAATTATTCCTTATTATAAGATTATAATTTTAAGGTATTTTTATTTAGTTTGGTCTGCATCACCAATATTGAATAAGTTATCTCCAATATATAATGTTATAACACTAAGAAACTGTCATAATGATTTTTTTTTTTGGGGGGGGGGTTGATTTAGTTGTACACCATCTTGCTCTGTAGGCCAGTAACTGTTATTAAATTTGGTATTCATAAGTATCTTCAAGAAAGTAATGTAGAACCTATACTGTAGTACTTTTGTCAAATTTTCAAGTAATTATCCAGTTATGTAAGTTAGTACTCTTTTGATTTTCATATGGATATGGAAGATATATTGATCAGTAATTGTAGGTGAAAGGAAGCCACTGTAATATGAACAACATTTCAGGAGATACAGTCTAGATTTCATAAGATTTCACAGTGATCGTGATACACCGGCCACATCTGTATCCGGATCTCGGAAGTAATTTTCCACTCCGCGTAGTTTTAAATTTGTTGACCCGGGTATGGCATGTGGAGATGCCGAACTCCGTGGACTAAGTCTTGAATCTGTATTAAATTCAACATTATCATCTCAGAGATATTGAGGCATCAGCTTTGGGTTCCTCACTGATGCGCTTACCAGTGACTTTAATAGATATTGAGAAGCTAAAGTGGGTCCTGGATTCCAAGCACACATACATTATATATATAAAACATTAAACTCTTGTACTGTAAGGCCTTTTGTACTTGTATCCAGCTGACAGAAATTTAAGATCTTCTCTAAAGTACCAGAGACTATAATTCCTTGTGAAACTCTCAAAGCAAAAGATTTCTCGAGTACTTGAGTATTATAACCATCCCATTACCTACACCTCAACATGGGGCAAAGGACTGAATGTCACACTGTACTTTTAGAAATGTTGCTCTTATGTGTGTGTGTGTGTGTGTGTGTGTGTGAGAGAGAGAGAGAGGCTCCTCATAGTGGTTGATTCCCTCCCTCCCCTTACTCATCTGTAATTTTTTTCAGTGTCAGGATTCAAAGGAGTATCATGTAGTTAAACTATTATATATAGCATTTATCTATAATACTTTGTGAATAAAAAATATCTAAAACTTTTGGATATTGGATTATTATCGTGTAGAATTTGTGTAACCTTTTTCCCTCATGATTACTGCAGGTTGTGAGTTCTACCAATGGTGAGCTTGGGCCAGATGATCCCTTGGCTGGCCACTCCAATACACCCATCACAGTTCACCAAGAGGGAGACACTTCAGACGAAACCAAGTAAGGCTGCTCATGTCCCCTTTCTTACCTCCCTACAGTACCTCAACATTTTACCCTCTCAGCATGTGTTTTGTAATGCTTTGATTAGATTGTGAAGAAGTGATAACAACCCACACACTACCTGCCTCAACCACAACCTACAGTAAAGTAATGTACAAGTTGTAAATTGTGTGTAATGTTGTATCATTATTTACCTGCCCATACTGTATGTGTTTATCTTTTATGTGCATGTTATGTTATGGAGATGGTGTATATGTGAGGGTTTACTGTGTTAGGTTATGTACTTCTCCATTTCAATTGCCCCAGTGACCCCTCAAGTGCGATCAATTAAATAAAAAGAAGATTGAATTAGCAATGGCAAGTAGCTGTTGGTGCTATTACATATATTGCACTTTAACAACACATTCTAGTTAAGAGTGTATGCTTGACCTTAGGAGAGAGAACCATGTCTGTTCCTGGCAACTACTGTACCAGCTGACCTTAATTAGACTTTGAAGGACTAGGATTGGAAGGTATGTAAGAAGTGTCACAACCATGATTAGTGTGTGTGTGTAAGTTCTTTAGGCCTTAGGTGGTACAGTACATGATCTACACACACAGTAGATCACTAATGGTTGTACCTAACACTGTGTCACTGTCCTGTCATAGTTGTGACACTATCTGCATCCTCTTCATCCATTTCAACTTGTTACTCCTTTGATCTCAAAGTTACCAGCTCATGTAGTGATGCCTTTAATCTTTATATACAGGACCCTTCACATCTGTTCATCCTTCCTTTTGTTTTTATATCTCTTTGTAAATTGTTGACATTAAGTAGTACAGTATTGTGAGTTTCCTTCAATATGTATTTTTAACATTGTGTGTAAGTATTGGGTGTATATCAGATACAGTATACTGAATGGAACTGTAGGTTTAGTGTGTCACTGGTGGTTCTGTTTCATGTGTGAGTGAAGACCTGTTCTTCGCCCATGTAGTACAGTATGGCTGGTATGAAGAAACTTTTATCTTTTGTCTCAAGGTACAGTATTGTTGGTCTGTAGAGGTAACTAGTAACTCATGGCACTACATGTGTATAAATAAATAGTAATGGACGGTACAGTCGGCCACAAGAATAAGTATACATCTTCGGTTCGTGTTTGAGACTAAATATCTGGTAACACTGTCCTGAACAGAACAGACAAAATGACCTGTAATTTATGTTTTATTCCTACATATATGTTATAAATACATTTGTTGTGAATGTTTTACTAGTGTCTTGTGTTTATATTACAAGTGATATATTGTATCCAATGGTAGTAAACTTGTTGCCGAATGGGATTGCAGTTATCGTACAGCTCCCTCCTCCTCCCCCACTTTTTCTCTTACCCTACTTTTTTTTTACTGATGTTTGTATTTGTAAAGGAAGGAAGAGGAGTAAATAGAATAATAAAGAAGGAGAAACAGAAAATAGTTAGAAATAACAGGTGGGGGGAGCTGAGTTTCATCATGCGTCTGGATGCTCAGTTTCAACATTACCAGACCATTTTCGGACCTTACAGCTACAGTGTGTGCAGTATACTTATTCCTGTGGCCGACTGTACATGTATATATTTTTGTTATGAGAAATTATTAACACTATTGGTTTTTGGCAGATGTTGCTGCTTCTTCAAAAGAAAGAAGAAGAAGGCTGGCCGTGGGAAGTGACTGGCGGTGGTGCAGTGCTCACCGGAGAGAGAGGCCATTGCGGTGCTGCTGCCGGCATCACAGTCGCAGTCTAATGAGAGTATCCTCAACCCTCAGGCACCGCCACCAATAGGGGGGCACCCAGCCAACCCCCATAAGCACTAATCACTTCACCATTACCTCATCACCACCGGAAGCACTGCATCTCCAGCTGAATCAAGTACTCGCCTCTAAGATGTGGAGTCTAGCCTCGTGCTTGTATCTTTGTGTTGTGTGAAAATCCGTTGTGATCCCATCTGGCACATTGTGTACTATTATGCCTGTGTTGAGACGAGCCTTTTTAGTGGTACCTTGACTAAATTAAAGGCTTAAAACCTGGCCAGATGAATGTGCTTTTATGTTTTGCTGTGCACACCACTGGAGTGCTGGAAGATGGTTTGCCAAAGCCATTATAATTTTGGACAATCTCTTTTGCATATGTGTGGCAGGGGTTTACAGAGAAATTATTTTAAGCACCATGATCATAAATAGACACAGAGCTTAATGTAGAAAGGAGAATGTGCAATAAAGATATACTCAGTTCTAAACTAAACTATTAGAAATGATTGCTGCCAGAGAAATTAGATTTCCTCTCTGACAAAGAGGAGCATTTTGTGGCCAGACTGGATTGGAAGAAGGCTGAGGTGGTGGTGGTGGTGGTAAGGGAAATTTGGAGTTTACTTCAAACAACTGCTTACCATGAGTGGATTGAAGCCCCCCTATTCCCTGGGACCTTTTTAAGGCCTAGCCTGTAATTGTGATGAGAGCAGTCATTTTTGGCTCTTGTGACAAATCAGTGCGTTTCATTTTCCCTATTTATGATAACGATGAGGAAGCCCGTTGGTGTGTCGCATAAAGCCGAGAATGACTGATTGAGTCACATTTGTTCTGTGATGATTACTTAACAAGTAAGACGAGTTCATCTGCTTGTTCACTCCATCAACCAAAAAAGTGAATGGACTATTGTGCTTTGATAAAACATTCTTTATTCGCCAAATGACCAATTGATTTTTTTCCTCTGTGTATTTAGTCGCCTTTGGGAAGTACTAATGTTGACATACTCTGGGACGACACTAGTTTAGATGTAGTTTGGTGGAAGCAAGTCATGACCAGTGCAAAAGGGGCATTTTTGTGTCCCTGTGTTGGCACCAAACTGGCACCCAATGGCATAGCTATTTAATTTTAATATTTACTTAGGTACCATAATAAAAAGGTTTTATTTGCTTAATGCCCAACAAACAGAGATGATTCTCAATGGTGATGGAAGTTGACTGAGAAGTATAAGTGAAAGCAGAGGAGGAGCCTTTTGTTTTAAGAAAAAGAAATAAAAAAAAAAGAATGGGATTGGAACTGAATGATACCAGATATGAAAGAGGATTTGAAAAAGTGGAAATACCCAAGTGCCAAACAGGCAGGGGAGTGAAACACAGATGAGACAGACAATCCTTAATGGAGGGATTAGTGGGCCTGGGGATGGCATCGTGCTTACCACATGCTGAAATTGCTTGTTTAGTTTCATTGGCAAGTGATGGAACAGTCTACAAATATGTACCACACACTAGTGATCATGAATACGACTTCCTCGAGCTCATTATTGGGAAGAAAAAGTGAGGAAAACGACTCATCGGCAGAAAGCAGTGTACAGTGGTTGGTGGTAAATAGTTAAGACACATGGTAGAAGTAATCCTAGCAATCTTCCTGTCTGAATTTATGGATCCAAAGGGCCGGCACAGGTCGAGAAGAATCGCCCTCTTAACCTGACGGGCTTTTGGAAGTGATTGGTAACCTGTACAGTGAGAATAGTTGGACAAGAGTGAAGAGTAAATATGTAACCTCAAAGGCAAGAATGGAACGACACTTGTCTTTCATAGTCTTTGCAACACATTCATCACCGAACTTGTGCTACACCACGATCTCGTCCCCCAGGGCTTTTGTTAGGAGGGACTTGTTACAGGGAGGTTCTTGTAGCAAAGTCCAAAGTACCTTTCAGAAGTATATCAATGTCATGTGGAAGGATAGAAACTTCCAATATTATTTTTATCATGCCTATAACTGTTCATCAGAACATGTGATGTAATAAGTGACTATAAGCCTCATAGTTCTTCAAACAGTGTGTCTCTTGATTCTCCTAATATCCATACAGTATCATTCTGAAGATTTTTTTTATATATACCGTATACCATCATCATTATAACTCTTATTAAAGTATCTTTCTTGTACTCACTAATCCCATCACATAGTCTGTATTTTATTTTATTTTATTTTATTTTTTTTAAGAATGACTTCGTTCAACCCATTTCATCTAAAGATAAACAAAAACTGAAATCAGATATTTTTTTCCCCTTCTCATTTTGTGTGTTCTCTTCATTGATTTCTGACAGTGTCCTATAGTCACAACTGATATTCCCCCGAGGTCCTCCTCATAATGTTTTCCTAGTGGTCACTTCAGCTAATTGGACTTGCCTACAGATGGTCATATTCTTGCTCACATTTTATGGTTATAGTGAGAAAACAGTCTTCTATATTAAGCTTCTAGAAACCACATATGGGAAACCAGCAGTCAGGGAGGAATAGTATATAAATGTTATGATTGCATCGTGTTCCATTGCTGAAGCCATTTTATTCTGTCCAGTTTTGTAGGTAAACAATTTGAAATCTTGTTGATGAGCTCATAGATGTAGTGACGTGGTCCACAGAGAAGTAAGTACAAGGCAAAGTTTACAAGTTATACTGCCTTCCTTCACACTGGTGTTGATGCAGTCTGCAGCAAATGTGATGACTTGTATGTACTTTGAAGCTGTGAACAATTATTATTGTAGATAAAAAAAAGCTCTCTTTCATATATGTACTTTATTGAGCACATGGTGTAGCCTCTTATATTATTAATGATGACAAAGGCTTGCAGTGTGCTGACTGCTTAGAATGACACAGCGAGTTTAGTCCTTGCTACAGTATAGCATTCTTTGCTTTTTTCTTCTGTTCTCCTTGTATAATTTTATTTATTTTATTTTCTCTTCCCAGCAATACAAAATTTGCTGTTACTTTTGCACCAGCAGTAGCACCATCACCAGTGTAATCACCATTGCCATCAGCAGTAATATACCTGCAGAAAAGACTGGTTTTAATAATTTTACACTTTCATAATACAAAGGGAGTTCTTAAAGTAATCCATTGGTTTAGGTTTTGGTATTGCTGATGCCATGACAAAACCATTTTGTAGGAAGCCAGGCTGATGTGATCATACCTCTACCGTCACCATAGTTCTTGGCCTTCGGTGTCATGTATATATGTGATTATTCATGAGCAAATGCATTGCTTCTCATTGGAGGTCAATGATCATTTATGAATGAGTGTGCAAGAGTGGAGACGGTAGTGTCATCTGTGATTTTCTCACTAAGAATTATCTGAATGCTAATTTTGAAATATGTTGAGTATGCCCAGTCACAAGAGTCGCCTGTCACCCATTTTGGGGAAGTCAACAAGTAGTAAAGTTTTTTGTATAATTTCGGATATGGATGTTACCTATGACGGTCCATTGAAGATAACCATAGTGTATTTCATCTTTCTATGAAGTTGTCCTGTGGTTTGTAAGGGTGAAAGAAATCACTTGTTTGCCTCTATGGAACATACTGCTTCAATGTGCTGTTTAATAATAAAAACTCAGCATTTGTATCCGTATAATCCATATAACTGGAAGAATATAATAATACTGTTGTTAAAGTCATTGTTTTCTTTTACCTGTAATGAAAACACATCTCTTTCTAGCTTGTCAGGTTAAGAGGCCGAGTGACCGAGAGGTGGTTGGTTCTGTGGAAACTGTACAGTACACAAAGATTACAGACTTAAATCAGGATGTGACATAAATGCCCGCCTCATTCCCACTATGCTCGCCAGTTTGGTAAGTGTGTGTGTGTGTGTGTGTTCCATCAGTAGGTAGGATGCACATGATTGACTGACCCAGGCACCACCAGTGTGGAATCTTACTCAGGTGTTTACATTGGTGGTTTTCTCAGCTTTACTGATGAAGAAAAAGTTGTATATGACAAAATAATTTCATTCACTTGTGGTAATGTTAGGATGCAGTCTACTATTAATATCATAGTAGTAAATTATCATGTCAAAATTCATTCAATTTAAAAATAAAAGTTTTTTGACAATAATAAACTTTTGGCCATTTTTTTGTCCATACTTTTGGTTTAAATTACTAGAACAATATAAGTTCTTTTCAAGGTGCAGACTGAGAAACAAGTCATAAAGTTGTTACTAATTAATCTTATTAATTACCCCTTGAAGTAGTTACATCCACTAATTAAACACGGAGTTTAGAATGTATTTTTCTGCACTTTACTAAACCATTACAGTATATCCAGTTTTAATAAATTTTACAACCAAATATATTGATCTCATATGTTGGCATTTTGGTAATACAGTAGAAGCTGGGTTTTATTCATGAAAAACTTTTAGTATTCAAAGCACATTTTTCCTTAGACTCCCATTATAAAAGCCGAGTTATGTTATTAAAAAAAAATTAAATCTCTGGAACATCTTTAAATGCTACTGTATATGTTTTAGTGAGAAAATTTGGTGTACATAATTATTATAAGGCAATAATGAACATACAGTACAGTAATAAGTTTACATCTTTACAAGTGCTTAAAGAAATGGGAGGAGAATGGAAACAGTGAACAACAGTATGAAACACTTAAGTCAGCGACTACAATGTTTATATTAATATACTGTATGACACCGTTTATCCCCCATCCAGGTATCCCAAACGCTTCAGAAACCGATTATGTTCTGGAACGAATTGTTTACAATGAGCACCAAGTACAATAATTCCTGAGTTGAGCTGGAAATTTCCAATAATTTCCCACCTGTGAGCAGCATTTTATGTTATGGTTATTTTTCAACTCCTAATTTTAGGTAGATACATTTTTTTATTTGGTTACGTGCTCACACAATGCTACATTCAGAAAGTACAACAAAAAATTAATTCACAAGGTGTAAAGGTATAAAGATTTCCACCATGAAGCAGTGTGGTGTGGAGGCCAAAGGGTCTGCGGCACTGTTCCCAGTGTTGCTAAGGTGAGAGTGAGTGGAGACTGTTTGTACACTTAACTTGTACAGTACTGTATGAATATGCTCTTTTAAAGCTTTCATTATTGCCATTTATATGCCAACATTTTAAAGCTTTAGTGTTACAGTGTACAGTTAAAGCTACTTTTTGGGGTAACTCTAGTGATGTGAGCAGTCTTCACAGCCAGTTACAGAGGGTTTGCTGTACACTCTGTACAATTTAGGCCTGGTGCTCCAAATTCCAGAAAACCCTTTACCCGGTAACCTCCAGATCCCAGGTGTGTTGGATAAATGCTCCCATACCTGTAGTAATACATTCACTCCATCTTATGATTGTATGTACTGGACGTTCTGTACTAAAAAAAAAATATCTCACAATTGACCCCTGATAAGTTAGTGTCATCCTAAATTCCTGCTGCTTTTGTTGACATGGTGCTAACATTTTTATCTCTCATAACTGCGAATTTTAGTATATCAAATCCATGTAAATCAGGGTGTGTTTGTATTTTATTAATTTTAAATTTACTGTATTTAAAATATTTGTACAGGAATACTCTGGGTGGGGGGATGGGTTCTCAACCAGCAACTTTCACCACATATTTTTTTATATAGTAAAACCTCGATAAATCGGACTTCAATATATCGGAATTCACTTTTTTGGGGACTCGGATGCTTTGGTCACCAGAAATACTAATTTAAAAAAAAATCATGTTTTAAGAAATTGGGAAGATTATTAAAAAAATCTTATGAAATGAGCAACACTTACTGAATACTGTACAGTGGTCTAATAAGATTTGCTATAGGCCTACTGAGCACTAAGACACTTCAGTATGTAACCAGGCTGGGGCTGATCAGGTATTGTCACATTCATCAGGTTTATTTATTTTTTGATTCAGTATTATATTCCCATATGATTGGCCTCTTATGGTTTATGGTTCATTATGATTAATATAACATCTTAAGTAATATAGAAAAATACAATACTGTATGTAATTTGTAATATGACTTGAAAATAAAAGGATAAGCTGTATCAGAAGGTTGTTTACTCAAGATGCGTTCATGTGACAGCTTTCAGCAAAGCAGCTTACAACAGGGGTCACTATAACACACTGTATAGTATTTGAGATGAAGATGCCTTTCTAATAATGGTTTTTACTACCTTTGAGTGTTATATGATGGCTCAATTTGGCTACTTGTACACTTAGACAAATGATTAATGAATAAACCAGGGTATATGCAGATTCATAATACTGTACATTACAATATTACTTATTAAGTGATGATAAATACTCAATAGTATTTATTAAATGGTGATAAATACACTGCAATAGTATTTATTAAGTAGTGATAAATACATGACTGTGCTGTACTAATTTACTAAGTGTTGAAGACAGAGTGGTAATCCAATCAACTGTTTGGTCTCTAAACAAATGACTCATTTCAGTGTGGGATTCTTTTTCAGGAAAGTTGATTCTTTTAGGATAATATTTTATCAACCTGGTACCAAATGAACCTAAATTATGTGAGAATTGTGGTGGAATTGCATAAAGAAGTGTTAAAGGAATCTTTGGGGAGGGATTACTCACTTATGTTAATGCCCTCTGTCAGTTGCTCCCAGATAAACACTTGTCTTCCACATACAATATACTCCTACACTTATTTTTATCTTTATAGTACTGTACAGTATACAGTTTTCTCTATTCATAAGACAAATTCTGTGGTTACTTGCATATAGCACTACAGTAAATAACAATCATCTCGGTGACAACAGTTGTTGACAATCAGACTTATATGTCTGATTTTCAACCCAGAGAGTTCTGTTTCATATTTTTTTTATTGTTGATGTAATATTTTTTAATCTTGTTATACACTTTAAGGCCTTAATTGTTTAAGTGCAGTAATAACATAACATCAGTAACATCAACTGATTTTTCTTCAGACAGTTCAGAGAAGCAGAGTTATCTCCAAATCATCCCCCCCCCCTCTCCATTTTCAAATTTTTCGGACTGGTGTCTGCCCTAATTAGTCCGATTTATCGAGGTTCTACTGTACAGTACTATCCCCATTATCCAAGGCTATTGGGGGCCAGGGTCGCGTGTATACTGTAGTACCAATAAATGTGAAGAATAAATAAAAATGATACTAATACATAAAATAAAAAAATACCGCATTGCCAGTTGGCAATAGTTTGATTACAGGGGAGATTGGAGTGGCTGAGATCCTCAGTGTTGCTCCCTCCTCCTCCCACAATCTGTGCATTAATTCCATTTCTGTTTTTGATCTTATGGTACAGGTTGTACCTCTCTAGTCCGGCATTCTGTGGTCCGGAACGATTTTAGTTTGTCCAATAGGTAGATAGGCAGCTGTTTTTTTTTTTTTTTTATCTGAATTATTATTATTATTACAGGAGTATTAAATTTTTGCCCCTCAGGCCCCAATGTGGGTCAGTGACCTATGCCCGGGTGGGCTAATCCCCGTAAAAAAAAAAAACAACAAAGCCGCGGGAAATTTAGGTTTGTTTACATCCGGCACTTCGGCTGCTCTCTCTCTCTCTGCTTGTCTATACAGAGTACAACATTTAACCCTTCAATATATATGAGCAGTAAATAAGTGTTGCTTTCATATTCTTCTGTAGAGTAATGACGATATGTTTTCACATGTGCGCACTTACATACACGCAGTCTCACTTTTTTTGTTTACCATTAATGGTTAGCTACTGATATTGTTCCATTTATTAACATTAAATAACATTACTTCAAACAACCATATTAATTTTTTTACATTAATTTTACTACAGCTACAATCAGGGTCTTATTTTCTTCAGTTTTATATGTAGAACCAATCAGTCACTGGTTTCGTAAGCTTTAACATAAACAATGCCGGCAGCCGTCTCGTCTCCTCTAATATTCCACGTATTATTAATAAATTGTATTGTTAATTTTGCACACACGTATATTAATTAAAAAAAAACAAATTCTGAAACATTAATTAAAATATATATGAACAGTAAATAAGTGTTGCTTTCATATTCTTATGTAAAGTAATGATGATATGTTTTCACGTGTGCGCATGTGCACTTACATACGCGATCTCTCTCTTTTTCTTTACCATTATCGTTAGCTTCTTCTATTGTTCCATTTATTCACATTAAATAACATTACTTAAAACAACCATATTAATTTTACTACAGCTACAACCAGGGTCTTATTTTCTTCAGTTTTATATGTAGAACCAGTCAGTCACTGGTTTTGTAAACAACGAAAACAAAGCCGTCTCATCTCCTCGTGTGTTTTTATATTTACGTATTATTGATGAATTGTATTGCTCATTTTGCACACGTAAACATTAATTCAATCAAAAAGACATTCAGTAATAAACAATAATGAATCCTTTGTACAAAAGAAAAATGATGCTGTTTACACGATTGTGCACGTCTGAACATTGGTGAGCCGTTCAAACCCATCGAAATTCTAGTTTCCGCCATCAAAATTTATAATTTTTTTTTGTGTTCCAATAAAATACGTTGAATTAAAAACTCGCAAAATTTGAGAAGCTACTATACTACATTTAACCCTTCAATATGTCTTCAAAGAGACCATGAAGCAGAGAAAGTGGTGCTAGTGCTTCCAAGCGTAAGCACAAGT